AGGGAAGAAGGGGGGGGGGGGGGGGGGGGGTACCTGATTCGCCGAGAACTCGCAAGCGGTGTATGAGGAGTCTCCTCAGAGCTACTCATGCTGTTGCGGGTGCGTCACAACAGTTGTCCATCCGGTCACGCTTGAACAGCAGCCGACCCGGTCGAACACACAAGCACGTACACGCTGGGAGTGAGTCTTCTCCTGGTACCTCAGAAGCAGGACTGTCGTCCAACTCTTCTCCCCCGGTAGAACCCTCCGGCTAACAACGCGTGTTCGCGGTTGTTATCCCGCTGCAGCAGTATCAGGCTGACGTCTTTTCATTGGCCAGCCGGTTAGCGCGGTCGATGCCACTTCAAGAAACACTCTCATGTTGCCAGTAGGACTATCTCTCAAATTGTGTGTGTTTGTGACCGACATCTTTTCATTGGCCAGCGGGTTGGCGCGGTCGATGCCAGTAGGACTATCTCTGAACACGTGTGCGTGTGTGTTTGTGACCGACGTCTTTTTCATTGGCCAGCGGCTTTGCGCGGTCGATGCCACTAGGGCTATCTCTGAATGTGTGTGCGTGTGTGCTTGTGACCGACGTCTTTTTCATTGGCCGGCGGGTTAGCGCGGTCGATGCCAGCAGGACATTCTCTGAATGTGTGTGCGTGTGTGCTTGTGACCGACGTCAGGCCCGTGACGAGTACGCCAAGGGGGGGGGGCTCGCGGCCAGGAGTTGCTCGGTGACCGCGAGGGGGTGCCACTTCTCGGGCAACGGTGCTACGGCCATGGCGAAAGCCTCGGCAGGTATTCATTTGGTGGTGATGGCGTTGGTGTTGCAGTATTGGTGAGCGCCGTAAGGCTGTACTGAAACGTGGCGCGGGCCCCACTCGCTGTCTGGTCTGGCTTTGGCTGCGTGCTTGCCCGATGCAGTGGGGGATTGTCGGCGAACGAGCGCGTGCCCAGACTTACCTGAAGGACGGCCGAATTCGCGAGGATGTTTTTTTGTTTATCTACGGAGTTGAGAGGGGGATTCCGAAACCTTATCCCTGACCACCAACCCTGCCCCTTACCCCCTACTACTAAACCAAGATTATCATCCCTGCGAGAGCTATACAGTCGACGAAACTGACTGCCGATGCAAGGAGTTGTTCAGGCGTAAAGGTCGATCATCAGCGCGCCGTTCACGAATACGGTTGGAGTGGGTAGATGTGGTTGGATATCCGTCCCATCTCTTCTGACGGCCAGCATCCACCGTTTGGTGTATGTGAATGTGACGCTACGCAGAAGTTTTTTTTCTGCTGGAATGCTACTGTTTGTCGTGTTTTTAACGCGACATGAATCAATTCTCGCTTTCGTGCAGATAGTCGCGGCTTCGCCCTTACCACGCTCCTGCGAATCGTGACATGTTCCGTCCCGGAGAGGTTGGAACCCACAGCCCCAAGGGCCTAAAATTTTTGTGAGATTCCGAACTGAAACCACCACTGGGGCGAACGGGTATCAATTCCCCCGCATTTATATCCTACCGTCGGCGTCGTTGCAGGCATCGGTGGCGGGGCATACCTGGACGACTCCGACGCGACCGTGAGCGGCTGCCGTTTCGAGAACAACGTGGCGGAGGGAATCGACCTGTTTGGTCAGCTGGCGTCCTTCGGGGCTGGGCTCGCGACTGGGGGACCCACACAGGTTTTGGACATGAGGCAGGAATTTTTTTTGGCAGGGCTTGGATTGTGTTTTTGTTGTTTTTTTTTTCTTAGGAAAAGGAAAAGTTCATTTCCAACAACAACGTGGGTTTATGTTGGGATACATGAGTCCGGGGAACAATATCAACGTCATATATGGTAGGTAGTAGTTAGCAACGCCTTGTTTGGCTTACCTGTGTTGCCACTGATGGTCGAGCAGTATTGGGGGAGGGTTCCCCTTGTTTTTTTTGTCTGCTTGAGGGAGTGCCCCGGTTATTTATCCCGGGTCGTTTTTCGCCCGCGGAAAGTATAAATAGTTGTTTATTTTAGCGATGATTGTGTTTTGTGCCTGCTGGGGTTTTGTTTGGACCAGCGGGCTGCCCAAGATTTCATCTGTAGGGAAGAGTTTTGCTTCAGCCAGCAAGTGTATGCATGCTTTACAGGACGCAAGATAACCCCCCCCCCCCCCGTAGGATAACACCAAACACGCACAGTACCACACCCGGCGGCATGATTTTCACGAATAACATGTGCCCAAAACAACAGCATACTCTTAGATCAAGCGGCAGGGCGTGGGTATCTCGACGGGTTGGTTCACTTTCGGAGTTATGCAATTTTTCGAGATATTGATTTCGAGGGAGTTGGTGCGTTTGAAACGACCCTAACGCACTTGTTTCGTCTTTCCCCCGGCTTCCCGCACCCAGCGACTCGAGCTTCGTCGCAAACGCGGCGGGAAAGGGGGGCTCCGGCGGAGGGATCTGGGTAGAGGACGGTGCGAAGGCGGTGCTGGCCAGGACGAAGTTCGTCAACAACACCGCTGCGTCCAGCTACACCCACAAGGGGGCCGGGGGAGGCGTTGCGGTGTCGGCGTCAGCTAGCCTGACGATGTCCGAGGGCTGCGTGCTCGAGGGGAACGTGGCTGGGCCAGAGGTAGGGGGGGTCTGCGTCGGGAGATATATCATTCCGCGTTGACTTTATGTAGCTGCTGTTCTTTTTTTGCCTTGCTGCTGTTCTTCGTTTATTAAATAATAGTTGTCATCGGGAACTACACATTTCCTTTGTCATTGGGGGCTAAATTAGGGTCGTGCATGTGTGTTGATTGTCTTGTGGGTTTGGCTTCCCGCGGTTTTATCGTCAGTTTAATGGTTCTCGATGCTGGGAAGGAAAGGTTTCGATGATGTTGTTTGCTTTTGCGCTCGCGGTCACCCCGACCACCGTAAGGCCACTCAGCGTGCCATCAGGGTGATCGCTCCCCGCGGGCTAGCGCTGAGCTGTCTGTTTCCCCACCGCAAGGTTTCGAAGCATGGTCTGCTTGCATCTTCTCGCCACAACTTGTCAAGCTTCGAACACAGCGCCCTCTTTCGCAACCCTCCCCACAACAATGGGTCAACGTTTTTTTATCATCCTCCCGCCACCCAACCTGTCGATGTCCATACATAGCACCCCCCCCTCCCATCCGCGCTGCCGCCAGGACGTCGGGGCGTCGGACCCTTCTTGCTTGTCCGGTCAAGGCGGCGGAATCCACGTCTCCGGGTCGGCCATCACCCTGTCAGGCGTTTCTCTGCGGAGAAACCGCTGCGAGACGGGGGCTCTCGACGCCGGCTGCTCGGGAGGCGCGGTCAGCCTCACCGGGCGGGGGCCTCAGGCGACGGCTGCCGTGGCAGGTAACTGTTCGTGGCGTTTGTGTCGGAGGAGAGAGGGGTGCTTGGGGGCTGGTGGTATCGCGGGGTCGTGATATCGAGACGCTGAGGCAGGGGAGGGGGGGGGGGGGGTGCAAGATTGTCGAATTTTTGTTGGTGGAGGCGACGATGTTGTGCAGGATGAGAGTTGCGATATAATCCACGTTTGGTTGGTTGCCGTTGGAGGCGCCTGTCAGCCATGTGTTGGCTTAGCTCGTGTGGGGAGGGGCAGAGCGGGCGGCGGTCGGCCAATCAGAGTCGCGGAAGCCTCTGCCGGAGATCCCTACTGCTGTGTCATGCCTAAATGTATACAACTCGGCACGCATGGTGCTCATAGGGGAGGGGGGGGGGAGGCAATGAGAATTGCGGAAAGCTCTACCGAAGATCTTTACCGTGCTATGCATGACGCCATACAGCGTACATCTCCGTTTGGTCCCGTCCTCCTCCTCCTCCTCCTCCTCTCTGGTGCCTCTCGCTGGTGCTGCATACCACACGGGTGCTTCTGCCCCCCTCCAAAACAAACGTTCGGTTGGATCCTCTTCTCCCCCAGCACGCGACGACGACAACAACAACAACGACAGCGGAGGGGCGGCCTTTGACGATTGCCTGTTCGAGGGCAACGAGGCCAGGGGAGCGGCCACGAACAACGTCTACAGCGGGGCCGGCCAGGGCGGCGCCGCGGCGATCCGCTTCGCCTTTCCCAGGTTCACCGGGTGCAACTTCACCGGCAACGCCGCCGAGGGGGGGGGTGGCGCGGCCCCGGCTACCGGCGGAGCGGTGCTGCTGTTCCTTTCCCGGGGAGGAGGAAGCTCCCCCGCCGCCGCCGCCGCCGCCGCCGCCTCTGATGGCGGAATGGAAACCCCGCCCCCGACGTTTGTGAGTGTTGGCTTCAGCCGGAGGGCTGTGGTCGGTCGGTCGTGCATCCCCGTATGTTCTTGAGAAGGGGGGTGTTGCATGTGAATTGTTGGCTCGTTGGGTACGAGGCCCCAGTTGTGCTGTCCGCTCCTAACCGCTGCGCGAGCTCGCGCGATGCACTGGTTTCACTGCAGTGTTTGTGGTGTTGAGACCGGTCTTTGAGGACAAGTTCCCGGAGGGACGTCGATAATCTGCCGGCTTTGGTGGCTTTTTTGGTGTTTTTCTCACAACTTTTGTACGGATTTTTTGCTGTGGAGATTGTTTTTTGTCGCCGAAGCGTACCATGTTTACGGACTTTTGTTGGTGTTCTCCAGATGTTTTGGCGTTTTGGCGTTTTCTCTCTCAAACACCTTTCCTCTCTCTGCATTAAACCATTGAAGTCCCTTAGCAAAAATCGAACCTGAATCTTGCCAAGCCCGGAACTGAACGGGAACCGAAATTTGGTTGCGTTCTGCGTGACGTTTGTTTTCTTAACGGAATTTTCCCCAAGGTTAACTGCAAGTTTACCTCAAACATCGCCGGATCCGGGGGCGTCCCCACAGACGGGAATGCCTTGGGGAGGGGTTTCAGGCAGGGGCACGGGATCGGAGGGGCTCTGGCCGCGATTGCCTCTTCGCCTCTGCTCTCGGGCTGCTCGTTCTGGAACAACTCCGCCGTGGCGGTGTTCCCGTCATCTTCTGGTGAGGATGACTGAGCAACGGTTGTTGTTGTTGTTGTTGTTGTTGTTGTTGTTGTTGTTGTTGTTTTTATTGTTGTTGCTGTTGCTGTTGCTGTTGCTGTTGCTGTCTTTCAAGCGCCAACCGTTGCGGTCTCTCGACACCCTCTGACCTAATAATGCCCGTACTAATACGCCTATACCTTCCGTGGTCGAAGACTCACTCCACTTACTACCCAAACGGGGCGCCTGTTGTGAATAGTCGCAGCTGTGGAAAGATAAATATAGTGGGGGGGATGATGTCGGTGCTTGTCTAAGTCGCTTGCTCGTTGACGTTCCTGGTCTCTAGACTCGAAAGAGACACGTCTCATGAGCGGCATGCAGGGAAGACCGAAATGAGTGCGAGGTGCAGGTTTGCAGGTGGAGGAAAGGGTATCGCTGGCGAGGGTCAGCGTAAAGATCTATGTAGCTCTAGCTTCAGGGGAAAACGAAACCAACGAGAACAGTCGGGACGTATGTATGGTATGGGCTCCCTTTTCCCTCAGCAGTGGTCCCTGCATTATTGGGCAAAATGTGGCCGGTCGTTTCGAGTATGGCCGGCGAAAGTGAAATTGCGTGACACAGATGTAGTTTTCGAGCGTCTCATACTCTGAACAGCGCCGAGAGGCCCGGTATTTGTAAGGCCTGTCCTATCCCTTGGCACTGCTATGCTGCCTTGTACACGCACCGCACTTTTCTGTACTCGCTCGCCAGACTTGTGACATGTACCGACGGGTCGACGCTCGGTAGCGCGGTAGGGCACCCTTGACTTCATGCCGCCTTTGCAACCCTAACTATAACCCTGACCCCAAGCTCGGTAGCGAGGCAGGGTACCCTTCAAGGAGGCGGCGTACGAGCCAGCACGCACCACTTCATGCTGCGTCTGCGGGACGGATGGCGAAGAATTGCCACACAGAAAACACGCCTCCGATCGTTTTCCCGCAAGGTCTCGAGCTCGCCCGAAGGACCTCACAGAGCACACATTTTTTGCAGTTCATGCTCAGGGCGGTGATGAACACCTCGTCCACTATTTACTGCCGTGGAATAGTAAATGCGTGGTATCTGACGTTTTCTGCCGTCTGCGTGGCCCCCGTTCCCGTTCTCGGTGGCGTCATACATGAAACCGTCGTGCGGCGCTACTGCTGCTGCTGCGGTGCTCGCTCTGCGGTCGCGGACGGCACCAGGCGGAGGAGGGGGGGGGGGGGCGAGCACTACGGTGTCGGGCGGGACCCCTTCCTTCGGAGGGGCAATAATGCTCACCAGCGATTGTTGGGGGACCCGGTTGAGCGACTGCGCGTTGGGGGATAACCCCCCGGTGAACGGGGTGGGCGGCGACCTCCCCGTGTTGGCAGCGCCGTCCAAGGGGTGAGATGGGTTAAAAAGAGGGCCGTGTTTGGAGGATGGCCGTAGTGGAGTCTGGGACGAAAACTACCTTTGTGGACGGACGATTGTGTTTTTTTTCGGGCGCCGTGGTTGTCACACCTCCCGCCAGCAAAGGAGGTGTTGGATCGCGTGGGGCTCGAGCAAGGCTGTCGTTCTACATTCTGAACCAGGCTTTCTGCGTACTTCAGGACCAGACGAAATATTCGAAAAGCAACAGAAAAAATCATCAAGCTTTCCCTTTTCTGCGCTGCACAACCATTCCGTCGGCCGACGCCCTCCTGACGCCATCTTCTGACCCTCACCACCCCGTGTCGCAGGCGCTCTTCGATGCTCGATTCGATCGCGGCTGCCACAGCGGCAACACCACGCACCGCCGTTGCTCCGGAGCCCTCCAGTTCTGCCGGAAGCGCATCATCGACCGTCACCCCCGCCGCGGCGCCGGTGGGGGCGGCGACAGCGGCAGCCGCAGGGGCACCGCCAGCACCCTCACAGGCTCCGGCCACACCGGCAGCTGTCCACGGGGCCACCACCGCCGCTGCCGCCATTCAGCCGATCTTGGCGTCTTCCCGTAAGTTGCCACCCGGCGCAGCCGCCACAGCGACCGCGGTCCTGTCCGGCTGCAGCTTCCGCCCGGCCCGGCCCCAGAGCGACCCCGCCGTCCCCTGGGCCGACGGGAGGTCGGAGACGGCGGCTTCGCCGTTCCTGTTCGTGCTGGACGGGGGGACGGTGGAGCTAGTGTCCCCGGTATTCGAGGCCCCGGGGCAGGCGTTTGTGGCGCAGGTGCGCGGCTGCTTTTGCTTTTTTCGTTGAATTTGTTAGTTTTTTTTTCTTTTTGACGTTTGTTTTTTGGAGACTATGTGGTGTTGGTTGTCCTCTTTTTCGGGGTAAATGTCATGCTAGCCTTGCCGGGTAACTCGCACGGCGGTGTCGACTGTCGATTAAGGCTACGTGTCCGTGGAGTCCTGCGAGTGCCCGGTCACGCGTGCGACCCTCGTCACACCATTTTGGCCTTAAAGGGAGCCATCGGACATTCGTGTGTGCCGCGAGTGAAGTACAATAGTCTAGGCGAGCATGACACACCTGGCTTTTTCTTTCCCCTAGGAAAAAACGCGAGGTCAGACCAACCCCCAACGACACCACAACACCGACCAACAAGCACGCCAAGCACACAACGCGCGTAACCCCCTACCCTCCCGATTCAACCCTTAACCTTGTACCACACAGGTTGATCCGCCGGCCTTTCCCTCCGACAGGGAGAGCGAAATCTCACATCTGCGCATCGTGGGCTCCGGCGGGCCTCAGGCTACCGGCGCGCACCCCGCCTTCACGGGTTTCCACCAAAACGACGGCGCCAATGGGCGCCGGCCCCGAACCACCGCCTCCGGCGCGAAGTTATCGGTCGTGTCAGTCGGCGGTCGCGTCTCTTTGGTTGATACCACGGGTGACGACGACCGACGGGCCGGCATAAACGACGGGGAACGATTAACGAAGCCAGCGGTGGCGGCGGTAGATACGACTCCGTCCGCGCTGCGAGACTTAGCCTTGCTCGGGGCGGAGCTATTCCTGGAGGGTGGAAGCGACGGGGATGAGCGGCAACAGCACCGAGGCCTCGCGGTGGAGAATTCGGCCAGGTTCCGCACGGCCAACGTGTCCGCCGTTGCTTCCGGCGCCGCCAGAAGTGGTCACGATGAGGCCGCCGCCGATCGGCGGCGATGGGCGCGCGGTTCCCCCGCAGATGCAGCGGTCGCTGGAGTCACCTTGGAGGCCCAGGGCGCGGCGAAACTCGGCGAGGCTTGGGAGCCGAAGCCGTTCTTTCTGGGCACGTCGCTGTCGCAGCGCTTCCCGTCGCCAGAGTCGGCGGAGCTGGCGGGGGAGGGGGCGGGAGCCGTCGAAGGCGGCGGCCGGCACGCGGCGCGTAGCGGGGGCGGCGGGCGCGACGCGGACGACAGAGTGTCGTTTGACGGAGTTGTAGTGAAGTTGGCGGGGGAGTCCGAGGTACAAGGAGGCGTTTCCCTCGCCGAGACGGCGGTGGTTCAGGTATGTGTCATACGTGCCCGCCGCAGTTCCACAACACATTCCGGATATGATGGCCGTTTCAACAAGATACACTGATAAGTGTGTGCGTTTCTGTTTATTTTTTTGGGGGAGGGGATGTGTTGCTACTGAAACGCTTTCTTAATCTATTTTTTGGGTGTATTGAGCCAGCCAGAACGTTTTGGGGGGTTTGGCGCCCTTATGCTCCTTGTGTTCACGACCGGAGTTTTGTGCAAAATATTCGTTCTGTTGAGCGTACGTGGCGGCGAACATCATCTCTACACATTATGCGTTCCGGCACCCCGCAATCCACCAAACCCCGCCGGGAAATATAGCTAGCCCTACCTGAAGCAATCGACAACAATTTCCCACTTTTCGTGTCACTGCTGCTTCCGCTGCTGCTGCTGCTGCTGCTGCCACTGGTGCTTATGCTCCTTCCGTTGCTGCTGCTTCTGCTGCTGCTTCTGCTTCTGCTGCTGCTGCTACTGCTGCTGCTGCCACTGCTTCTCCTCAAACGTCTTGCCTGTGTCCAAGAGCAGGTGGCGCCGTCGGGATCGCTCACCCTCACCGGGGACGCCACGATTCGCAGGCAGACCTCGTCGTCGTCGTCGTCCTTCACCCCGCCGACAGCGGCGTCCGCGTCGCCCCCGCCTGCGGTGCGGAACGCTGGTTTCCTTTCCCTCCCCCGCGGGTTTTCCCTCGCCGTCGCAGGCGGTGTGGAGCAGGGTCCCACCGGCGAAACCGCCATCGTCCTCCCCGCCCCTCTCTACGCCCCCTCCCCCGCTGCCGGCGGTTGCCCCGAAGGTAGCGGTGAACAACCTTTCGGGGTGGAGAGTGGTGGGGGCCCCGGTACATGGTTCGTGGAAGGGCAGGGGTGGGGGAGTGCGACCGGGCACCCGCTGGTGGTGGAGTCGGGGGCGACGAGGCTCGCCGGCGCGGTGAACGCCTCCGTGTCTCGTGGCGGCGGGGAAGACGAGAGGTGCGCGCGTACGTACGTTTCTTTCCGTACAATAAACGGTTTATCTTGCCAACAATACCGTTTCTTTTGACTCAAACAAGATGTCAAGTCGTCGGCGTCCGCGGCGGTTGTTCTCACGACGACGACAGTGTTGGTGGTGGTCTCGAGGAATCATTGGGGTTGCGTGACGTGTTCGGGCGACGCGACGTACAACAGGGGGGGCGGGCGGGAGAGAGGGGCTTCCTTCACGACCCATTGTGCCGAGTGGTCGTCGTCTAGTGTTCGTTACGATTTCTGTGGCGGACAATTGTTTCGCCTTGTTCTCCAAATATTGGTGTGATTTTCAATCAAAGATGTGCTTTCCTATGAAAAGAGCACCCGAAGCATATTTTATCATTTCTTGGACAAATTCTTCGTGCGGCTTTCACTGTGCGGCTCGACGTCTCGGCGTCTTCTGCGGCCGTCAAGAATGGGCTTGCCACATCTCTAGCCACTCTGTGGATTCACCGCCGCCTCACGGGGATCAGACAAGCAAGCCAGTTCCGTCCACCCCCCCCCATCCAACCCCCCCCTGTACCCCAATTTTCCTCGGTACCTGTGCTCGCGCCTTTCTTCTAACCTATTAACACACCAAATCCCCATACATGGCAAGCCTGTTAGTTCTGTGGATGCCATCATCCCCGCGCACCTAGCAACCTATCGTTTTCCTCGTGCCATCCCCTCCACCATCACCATCACATTTCGCTGTCTGCGTCTCGCCTCATCTTGCCCCCCTTCATCTTGCGTCATTCATGCACGCTCGCTGTACGCGAACGCGAATGGATTGTCGGGCGCCCTCTCCCCCCCCCGTCGTTCTTTCATTGTCCCTGCATCAAGCTCGCTTTGGCGCATGCGCGCGGCGCGTGCGCCAAGGTGAGGACGTATGGCTAAACGCCGCTCTCCTCTCTCTCCCTTTCTCCCTCTTAGCCGCTCTCTCTCTCTCTGCGTGTTTGTGTGCATGTTGGGGGGACAGGATGAAGATGAACCGAAAGTGGGCGATCGTCCGCTTCGGCACCCTAGACGCCGCCCGGAACGTCGACACGGGGTCCCTCTCGGTGCGCGGCCCTCCCGGGGTGTCGATGGCGCTAGCGATGCAGAACGTCACCCTTAAAGGAGGAGGCGGGGGATGGCACGCCCCCCCGCCGATGCCGGACCCCCTGCAGCCACGGGACCCCCTAAGTCTGCAAGATCACGAAGAACGTGAGCATCAAGACGAAGGTGCAGGGGGGTTGTGTTGGGTTATGGTCGACGTTTTTTTATGTTTGGGAGAAAGCTCTTGACGAGATACTTTCCACATGCCATCCTCTTCGGCGTTGACGCCCTGTTCGGCCTCTTTGTTCGTGGAGCAATCGAGCTTTGACAGTCGGCGTCGGGGTTGTGCAAGGACTCCCAATGGTCGTCCTTTACAACCGTATTTTTATCTCCAACGTTTCCGGGCTTGGCAACCGTTTGGTTGAGGGGGGAATCGACCTATGCATACGGAAGTGGGCTCTGGGGTGTGTAACTGGCACTCGTTGGGCACGTGAAGCTGCTGTACATCGAATAGCCTACCCGTCATTGGCATCCGACGAAAAAGAGAGAAAGTGATCTGTACACCTTATTACAAAGGACTATCTCGGGTACGTAGCTGGATACGCCGGACCCCCCCCCCCCCCCTCTAGTCTGACGTCTGTCTGTGCCCATCTCCGTGCCTTGAGCTACAAATACTTGATGTTCACAGGCGGGGGGTGGGGTGACGCGAAGTGGACGGAGAGGGAACGGAGTTATGGCGACGTCGGTGATCAGCGGTTGGAGTTGGTTCTCCAGGCGGTGTTCATCGAGTGCCGGAGCATGCTGCTTTACGCTAACGTCACGACAGCGGGGGGCCCCTGCCAGGCGAGTCTTCTTCTTCTTCTTCTTCTTCTTCTTCTTTTCACGTGCTTCTTCCGTTGTTCTGAATCTCTCATGGTAGCATGCACCATGGTTCCAGGTATGTACCGCCCTTCCTGGGTGTTCCGCAGCTATGGACCAATACGGGTGTTCGCCTGCTCTGAGAAGAGATGGGAACCGTTTTGACGTCAAGCGTACCAACAGCCACAACAACACCGGCACCAGCAACTCTGCTATGTATCGTCGTGGCAAGGGGGTCCCTACTCGTTATTGCGCCGATAGCAGCTCCAAGCCGGGGGTGGTGACGAAAAAGAGGATTCGACGTTCCCCCGCACAGCTTAGCCGTTCCGGCTATTGATATTTGGAGGCCTGTTCGTCATGCCCAAATTCTAGAATTTGTTCTTGGGGGGGTGGACAGTGGACAGGCACACGCGCTGTGCCTTTATCTGACGTTGGGTGGTCCATGACGTCATGCACTGCACGTGGCGGGAAAACAGCTCGCTATCGGCGGTGGCGGCTTTTGTGTCGACATTGTTGTTGCTTTTGTTTTTGCGTCTCTTGAGACCGTCTACATGTCGCATCGAGCGATGCCCTTTTCCTTGCCCCGTAGTGTTGACTCTCGCCGATGTACGTTGCCGTCTCTTCCCCAATCCCGAGGCAGCAGGGCTGAACCGTTGTGGGGGTCGATCAGATTTTGTTCGGGGTGTTCGCATGGGTCGGTGTTGAGACGATTTTGCTTGTCTCCCGCGTTCGAGCCGTACATTCCATGCTTTCTCGCGCGTGCTCGTTTTTTTTTTTCGTCTCTTTTTCGTGCGGGGTGATGCTTCCAAGCGGACGCTAGAAGTGTTTTGTTGCACGTTTTTATTTCTGCCGACCGGGTTTCCTTCACCCCCTGTCCCCTCGAAGGCATAATCATGATACCCGCCTTGTGTCGCTTATGGTACTGCAATAGAACGCCCCGGCCGTTGCGTCGGGTACGTACGCAATTCCTTCGATCACCTCGCTGAGTGCTCCCACTCACTCACCTGTTGTGCCCGCTTTTTCTCGTCTTTTTCTCGCCTCTCCAAAGCGCGTTTTTAAAAGGGGCTGCCAGGCGTACAAAGCTTTGTTTTGTTGATGCGTTTTTTTTATTGTATTTATAGACATACCCCATGGCCCCCAACATGGCGTACGGCGGTTCATGGTCTTGCACAACTCTTTCCGACCTCGCCCTGTGTCGTCGTCCCCCCCCCCCCCCCCCAGGCATGCCTTTTGAACATGGAGTGCTCCTGGTGTGGAGACCAAGACGGCATGGGGTGTGTGCCGGTGGAAGAGCGACCCGTCAAGCGCGGCGGCCGGAGGGGCGACGCTGCATTGTCTTGTCAGGTGCGAGACGATGCGCTGTCTACCCGATGGGCGAGAGATGCCTTACGGATGACGACGGTGGCGTACTGCAGAGGTGCTGTTACGATGACGTCCAAGAGAACGTTTTGTTCGCCCGAGGCTCGTTCGCTTTTTGCTTCTCTCTTTTTCCTTTATGGTTTAACACCAACAGGGACTATGTGGATAACTGTGTGGGATTTTTAAATCCAGTACCTGTTATTTTGGTCAAGTAACAACAAATAGTGTCGGTTGATGAGCCTGGGTTTCATAGCTCCCAGGACCTTCAGGTGGTGGCACGTCCTGTGTGATGGCTGGTTTTCTCCCCGGGGGGGGGGCGTTGGCTTCCCTTGACGACGCAACGTGCGAACGGTTACGCTTTCACCGCCGAAGTCGAGGCCCATGTGCTTGTTGTGGTCCATTAACTAGTTGTGAACCTTTGTTTTTCAGAAAGTTCTCGTGGACCTTGTTTTGGGAACAAGTTGACCAAACTACCGAGCGCTACTTTGCATCACGAGGGCCTCGCTTCCGATCAGCGTACACTATCAAGTAGTTTTTTTGGGGGCAATGGTGGTGGCATCACGGTGAAAACGACACCTCCCGGCTGCAGACACTCTTTCTAAAATAGATGGAAACGGCGGCTTCGATCGGTGGGGGTTGAGCCTCGGCCGGAGCGGTGTCATCGCGAGCTAGAATATTGCTGTTGTATGAGATGCACAACACTCTCGCGCACCTTGCTGTCCATGGCTCTCACCGAAGATGATTCGAGTCCATCTCTATCCGTACGTTGCATGAAGTCCACCATGAGTTTCCGGAGTGATTTCACAATAATGTTTTGCATGAGCTGTATACGAGCGTTTGTTGTCATCCTCGTGGGACTACTGTTGTACCCCCCCGGTGGATAACAGGCTGAACGATTCGGTTAGGTGGCCGTCTTGTGTACCTGATTATGTATTTTCCAGGACACTTGCACAAAACAACACGAAACAATAGCCACCTCCCTTCGAGATTGTATGCCGTTCGAAGGGATGTGTTGAAATCTTTTCAGCTGTCCGCGATTTATTCTTCTCGTTTTCTTTTTTCTCGGCCGTTTTTTTCGTTTCGTTTTCGTCAGACGGGCAGCTGTTGCCCTCTTGGCTGCAACGGCGTCGGCGAGTGCGACTTCTTTTCCGCGACTTGCTCTTGCCGCTGGCTCTACGCAGGTGCGTACGACATTCAAAAGAGCTTTCGAGCATGACTTCGGTACCGCGGCAATCGTCTAGTAGTATGTAGTAGAAGCACGTAGTAAGGCTGTCGCCATGCAGGTCGCGTGGGCTTCCTTTAAACGTACTATCTGTGTTCGCAGCGGGTTGTGGGGTTTTAGTCTCCCCTCTCTCTTTCTCTCTCTCGTTCGGGAGTGAAGACTTTGCAATTCTGCGGTAGAAAGGGAGGAAGACGCAGCACATACTGAAGGCGGATCAGGATAAGACGTCGAGTGCTGCCGTTGTTGTTGTTGTGTCGTCCTACCGCCAAATTTGGTAGTGATGGGTCGTTGTCGTGATTTCAATTGCAAGCCCTCACCTAATACCCTACTTCGTGCTTCATTAACCTACGGGTGGTGGTTTTTCTCTGCCCGCGGCGGGTCTCTATTCTCTGTCGGCCCTTGCGCTTGGTTGCCGTCCCCCAGGTTCCTCCTGCGCCGACGTTAGCACCAAAGGAGCCGTAGCGTTATCGCTATCGCTTTCCGCCCTCTTGCTGGTGATGCTCTCGCTCGCCTGCGGTCGCTCAAGGTGCGCGTTTTCCCGGTTTCCTCGCCTCCGCTCTTCGTGATTCGCACTCGTGTCATGTGGGCTACTCTACCCGTGAACGCACCCAGGTGTCGTTGCGTTTCTTGGTTTCGGCCGGTTGCTTGTTCTGATATAATGTACTTTTTTCGTACATCAACACAACGAAATCATTACAAGATTCCGGCATATATTGTTGTATGATAAACTTTGTTTCTACCGTTTGCATCGTCTCGCTCTCTTGACCGTGCGCGTTCGCTTGTCAGTGGTTGTTTGATTTTTTTTGTTTGTGTTGTTTGAATTTCCCAGCCCCATTGCTCCCTCCACCCTTCTCGCAATCAAGGTGGGCGCTCTCCCGTAGATCGTGCCTCATGCAAATATCGTTATCGCATCGTATCCCAAGCTCGTTTTGCGTGAGGTTCATGTCTCTCTCTCACCGTTTTTTTGTTGTATATATTCCGCGTCTGCAAAGCATCAAAGGCAGAAATGCCATCTGAACCTCTACGACAACTTCACCGGGCGTAACAGACGACCAAGAGCACTAGTGACGTTAATATGCTACGAGCCAACACATGCTCGTCCTACATCGCTGTCCCGACGGGACATTTGTTCTCGCGGTGCTACCGGGTGCATGATTTTTGTGGTTCCGTTTGTGACAGCCAGCGAAAGCAGGTGGAGGCGGTGATGGGCACGCTGCAGGAGCTCAAGCGAGGCCTGCTCTCCGACACCGACGGGTGAGAGTTATATAACACTCATTTTCGGACGTCTGTCCAACCAACCAGCCCTACAACCTCGACGCCAGTTCTCGCAATATGGTTTTAACCGTCCCGCCTTCCGGGATGGCGGCGCCCTTGAGCGGTTCTCCTTGCCGCCTCAGCGGTGCCCCCGGCCCACCCAGCCACCCAGCCACCGTCCTCCTCTCTTTGTCCGCGCACCCCCCATCACCTTTGGTCGTATGCATACAGTAGGTGTTTGGACTTTCGGGCTTCCAGCCCCTCTCCGCTCTCCGCTATGTACTATGTACATGTACTGGCATCCTCCCAGAGGAAAACACCCCTCCCCTCAGTGTGCAATGAAGTCTGTGATTCGTGAACAACCCCCCCGTGGTCAGGTCTATCGGAGACGATGACGTCAACTTGGCGCCTTTCGGGGGAAAAAGCAACAGGATGGCGTTTTCGATCGGGGGACGGGGGCAGCTTCCGACAGGAAGGGGCGGGGGCGGCAGCGGCAGCGTTGGAGGGGGCGGCGGCGGCGGCGGGGGTGGCGGGGGTGGGAGTGGGCTTTCGTACCAGCACATGTGGCCGAGAGACTACATTCAGGACTTGCAGCAGAATTTGGCTCTCAGGTGTGTGTGTGTGTGTGTGTATGTTTGTGTGTGTTTTGTTACTAGCACCGACCGCGCTAACCGGCTGACCAATGAAAAGACGTCAGTCTCAGTGCGGTTGAAAACACATAGTGCGTCTAAAGGCCGCAATCTGGGACCGGTGTGTGTATGTGTGTGTGTGTGTGTGTTATCTTAGTTAGCATCGACCGCGCTAACCGGCTGACCAGTGAAAATGAGCGGACGTCAGTCTTATGGCGAGGTGAACTACACCAAATGTTTCTAGTGATTGCGTGGGTGTTGTCGTCTACGCGGTGAGTGTGCGGTGAGACTCTGCCGTTTCGGTTCGGCCGGACGTGTGCTGTATGCCTAATACTCTCTCGAGAACGAGAAGTACTTTTTAGTTTTGTGTATTGCAGTGTCCCCCTTTTGGGCGCAACGTGATCCCTGCACAGCGGCGGGAATCTTGCCGTGTGCTCCTGGACGTTGAAAACAAGCACGTGATTAAGCATAAGAGTTGACCAATTGCCGGGCAATATTGGCCACGTCGCAGACGCTCTCTGTATGCATGGAGGCGGGGGCACCTTGAGACCGACGTCGATGCCGTCTATTTAACGGTTATATGCCTCAGCGCCGAATTGCCGATGCATGAAGGCGGGGGCAGGGAATGCCGTCGATACATTCATCCGTTCGCTGTTCAAAGCGATACGTGACAACCGCCGGATCGTTTGTGCGCGAAGGCAGAGAGGCAGGCTGAGGATGACGTCGGTAGATACGGTAGCTGCCAAAAGCGGCGCGCAACAGCGCCGAATCTTAATCTTTGACGCATGAAGTCGGGTGCAGCTTGAGGATGATATCGATACGCGTGGTCGCTGCTCATGCTGATACGCAACAGCTGCCGAAATCTTTTCGTCTTTCGCATGGAACGGCGACAGGCACCTCGGGGATGCCTTCGATGCACACGGTCGCTGTGATTGCGGTGCGCCAACAAACAGCGCCGAAGCCCTTCGTCTCTTTTTCATTCGAAACGACCCCGTCCGCCGTCGTCCCCAATAGCCGTTCCCGCTCGCTCTGTCTCTCTCTACTACGTTTCGTGCTTTCTCCCCGCTCGTCTCGGTGGTCGTCCCATGGTGGTGGTGGTGATGGTGGTGGTGGTCTTCCGGGAAAAGGGACGTGATGGTGTCCTTCGGCGAGCTGGAGCTGGGGGAGATGGTCGGCTCGGGGGCCGCGGGGACGGTGTGGAGGGGCTCGTGGCGGGGCGCGGCGGTTGCCGTCAAGGTTTGTGGATGCTTCTAGACAGGCGATGGCGCTGCTCCCGCGCTGTTTCCTTTTGTGAGAGCGGGGGGTGGCTTGTGTGTGTGTGTGTGTGAGGATGTGATTGATATTCAGCGAGTGCGCTATCCTATGGAACGACAGTCCTGTAAAGCGAGAAGTACGAACGCTTACACGCTTTCTAGTCAGCGGGTCCTGCCCCCCCCCGGCGGAGAAAGTTGGAAGACAGGGGCCCAGTCTCCAGATGTGTGTGCTCGCTTGTGTGTTTACCACCCGTCTGTGGAAAACGCCGTCAGAACGCCGCGTCAGCCTTTGAGCGCGCAACCGTGGTTGGTTCTGGTTACTGTCTTTCGTAGACAGAGCATTGCGTGATGATGCAAACCGTCTATTCCGTAGGTTATCGTATCCCTAGGCCACAAACCCCTGATGGGATTCATGTGTTGACGTCGTTTGCAAATGTTTTCTCCGGCGATGGATCTGTCCAGCAGCTTACATTGTTTTGTTGTTGCGGCTGTGATGCTGTGTCGTGCCTGACGGTAAACAACCAGGAAACCTGCGTGATCACGCTGTACTTGCCGGCGGAATTGGCGGCAACTTTCTTTTTGTGGCCTTCCTGCGCGTGTGAACATGGTTCGAATCATACCTCCTGCATACGTAGCATCGACGGCTTTGATGAGAATGATTCCAATGACGCCTCCTGCATATGTAGTAGCTGTGGAGGCTTTGAAAAGCTGCATCACCGACGTATGGTTCTTGTCCTTTTCCATGTGGTCAGGAGGCCTTTGCGTCATGCCGCGTGATGAGGAGGAATTTTGCGACAACCCTGAAATCCATGCGCTTTCTTCGAACGCGAACGCTGTTGTTCCAGCCTGCTGTTTGTCACCGAGCACACGTCTTTCTTTTCCATAGATTTTTTCCCATTCGGAGTCCTGCTCCACCACAAGCTCCCAAGCGAAACCGAAATGTACCGGGTTCTCGCTTGGTTTTCCACAGGTGATCAGGAGACCCTTCCACCAAGCGATGGAGCTCGCCGGCGGCGATCTGGAGACCTTCAAGAGGGAGGCGTACCTCATGACCAGGTGAGGCCGAGGCGAGGCAAGCAGGCAACAAGCGGCACGGCGGCGGCGCTTTCAAGAAGCTCTTGCTTTTTGTTGCCCCGAGCCCTAATTCTTGTTTTTCTCTTGCGGGAAAAACCTCCAACACCGGCTGCAACTGTTTAATTGTGGGATTCTTGACGGAGCGCCTGCGCGTACGATCAAACTGTTCTCTTGTCGTTTGTGAGGCTCGCCTCCTTACCTGCCAGTTGCTGTAGCGGTCGGTGATGGTGCTGGCTGTGGTGCCCGTTTCGTGTGAGCGTCATATGCTGCCGGTGCTAAGGCTCGGGGGTTGATCGATGTTACGCGCGGCGGGTGCGCACGTCTCGCGACAAGGGCTAAGACGGGCGTTGCATGCGTAGTGAGTCAGGCAGCGTGAGTTAATGTGTTTGTTCTTATATTCCGTGAGTCGGAGTTGGATCTGCCGGGGATATGCCTCGCTCGGCTACAGTGTGGCTAGATTTGATTCTCCCACCTTATTCGGCACCGTGGCACCCCCTCTCTCCGGCCACAACAGCCCTCATACTTCACACATGCTTGTGCTACTACCGCTGTAGTACGCAGGCGGTATTTTCATGAGAAGGGGCGGGTCAAGCGATCAATCATACGATCGTTGTCTCTAACAAACAGGAGGAGCCGCCGGTCAGGAAGATGGGCCGTCAATAACACGCTATGATGCATGTCACCCCCCCCCCCCAGGTTGCGTCACCCCAACATCGTGTTGATTATGGGGGTGGCGTTCGCTCCCCCAGGGCACCGGATCACACTGGACGGCGACGGGACGGCGTCCATGTCGGTCAGCAGGAGGAGGGAGCTGGGCTTCGAGGGCTTAGGTAAGAGAGCGATTTTTGTCAAAAGGCAGTGTCAGCACAGCGGTCGTGACACCTCGCCGGACGCCGTCGTCGTGCTTATCATTGCAAGGTTGGAAGGCTTTGCAACGAGACGCGATCGAGCGCCGCGCGTCCCGGTGTCCCGCCGTGACTTTTTTTCGCTCCAGCGGCTTAGCAATGCTTCAGGTTTTTTGCCCCAGCTGCGGGGAAGAGGGGAGCGCGTTTTTTGCCCCCGCTGCGGAAAGAGGGGGGCTCGCTTTGAGAACAGAAGCCACCGGCGAGGCGGCCCAAGCTTGCAGCTCTCTCAGAATGCGTGTACAATGTAGCTCCGTTGGGTGGGCTGTGCAGTAGCACCAATGACACCCGCTATGCCGCGTGTTGTTCTTCATGCGCGTACCCCCCCCCCCGACGCAGGGACTAGTACGCAGGGGAGCCTTTGCATCGTGACGGAGCTCCTGTCCCGCGGCAGTCTGGAGGACGTCATCCGAAGAGGAGGCCTGCGTACGGCAAGCTACGGCTTGATTCTGGACCTGGCTCTCCAGGTCGGTACAGCACCTGCCTTTTTCTGTGTCTGCTGTGTCGTCACGTGCCGCCCGTTTTTTTTTTTGTCCCCATTATCGCCTGGCCTGCGTAGTAGGCAGGTGTCTGACGCGTGATAGCAGCCTCCCGCCAGACGTCAAAACCTGCACAGCGTGCTTTCTGCGCGGAGGATCACTCGCTCTGGGTGGGATGCGCTTTGCCGCTGTCGTGCTTTGTGCGTCGTGCGGCTGGAACTTGGGCATTGGCGTGCGTACCGTGTCCGCCGCATGTGGATAATTTTCTTTTGGGTATTCTTGTGTTCGGTCTTGTTTTCTTCCTATGCTGTGGTTGTTGAACCCGTCAGCTGCTGTCCGTCGTGGACGCTTGAGCCCGTGTGCTCAATTTCATTGGCTCTTCAACGTGTCCAGTTGGGGATACAACCTAGCAGCGGGAGCGAGGAAAGCCATCACAACGTATGTGATGACTCTGTGCCATTCGGTCGCGGCAATTTTACTTTCATCAATCAGCGCCTCCGTATGGGATGTGGCGATATGTATTGCACTCCCTACTGTTCAAAGGTGAGGCAGGCTTGCCACGGTCGGCCTGGCGTACCCCTGATTGTCGTGCTGCAGGGTGCCGCGACTGGCCCCCATGCTGCTGTCCCCTGGCATTCTTGGCAAACAGCCTTTTTGTTTCCTGTAGAAACTCCAAGCTTTTCCCATAGTGTTGGCTTCATGCCCCCCCCCCCCCCCCCCCCCTCCCGGCTGTTGCTCAAGGCGGCGCGCGGGATGCTCTACTTGCACACACACAACCCGGCGATCGTGCACCGGGACTTGAAAAGCAGCAACCTTGTCATCGACGAACACTGGCATGTCAAGGTAAGGAAGGAAAGTCATGGAGGTTCGATTATTTGTTTGCATCGTGACAACCTGTGGCGTTCGTGTGGGTAACAAAGTTTCGTGTCGAGTAAGGGGCAAGAAGACGTGTGGTGTTCCAAGCCCTTCGCAGGCATATTGATACTGTTGGCTGTTTTCCGAGGAAAATTTTAGCGGGGAATTGCACCGATTGTCGATCCAGCCTGCTTCCGAGTTGAATGGTTCTACGGAGCTTCTAGTGCCACCAGGGCCCGCTGCCACTCTCTGACCCCCACTTACACCCCGGGGGGACGTTTACACCTATTGCCCTACCCAGGTGACCGACTTCGGCATGTCCCGGTTCGTACCGGGACCAATGCCTACCGTCGTTACCTCCTCTGCAGCTGCTGGTCGTGGCGACTACAGCGACGATGACGAAGGCGAGGCGGGGGCCGCCGCCGCCACCGCCGCAGGCTCTGGCTCCGCTCACCCCCTTGCTACCCGGCAAGGCGGCGGTGCGGGGACAGGCGGCGCCACTGACGACGCTGACGAGGACCCTCTCGAAAGGAACGAGGAGAAGGACCCGCTCACCGTTCCTGCTGCCAGCATTGAGCTTGGCCGCAGCGGCAGGGGCGGTGGCGGGCGGGTAGGTGGCGCTTTGAATGGTGTCGCTCGCTGGGGACGGGGCTCCAGGCCGACCGCGGGGGGGGCGGGGGCGGAAGAGCGAGGGCTGGGGCTGACTACTAACCTCGGGACGGTGGCATGGGCCGCGCCGGAGATGTTGCGGGGAGGAGAGGGTGGCCGTGCGGAGTATACGGCCAAGGTATCAAGACGAAAGTTGTTGTGAAGAAGAAACCCGGAACCCGGATGCTGTCTCGTCGCGTCTATTCTTTGGCGGGGACGATTTCCCTACGTACTGCAACAATAGAACTCGAAATAGTCCACCTCCACTTCTGCGTCGTGGGGTCTATTTTCTTTTCGACGATTTACCTTGTGTACGGCAACGAACTGCGTGATGAGTCCAGCTATCGTATGATACGAAGTGGAAATTTCCTTGGTGTGCAACGGAGAACCCAATGGAGAATGACGGCAATTGAAAACAATTCCGGCACGACGCGAGAGCAGATGCCCTGTTGGCTAGGACCCGCTCAGCTGGTCAAACTCCCGCCGGGCTTTTGGTGCATGTGGATGCTCAATGCTTCGATTGCAATCGGCGCAGCGTCGGCGGTGTTATTGTGTTCTCCGGATGTAGCGAACTTGCTAACCGCAGCTAAAAGCTACCATTCTGATTGGCCATTGCGATACACCCGCTTGGTGATAACTGGCCTGCTTCCCACACCGCCGTCACGTCAACATTTCATCTCCCCCCTCCATCCGACAGGTGGACGTGTATTCGTTCGGTGTTGTCATGTGGGAGCTGTGGGAGCGGCGACGGCCCTTCGAGGACCTTCGGAGCCGCTTCGACATCGCAGACACGGTGGCGGCCGGAGGACGGCCTCCGATCGGGCGGGGTTGCCCCCCGCCCTACGCTGACCTGATTCGACGGTGTTGGCACCAGGTGGGCTCGCGCGCTCGGATGAATTCATTCAACTCTTTCACGTTCCAATGGGTCGAATAGGCTGTGCCTGTTTACATTCTTCGGTAGCTAGCAACGTGTTTTCTCGTGCGTTTCTTCGAGGCTCGTGGCGTAGGGATTGCCGCGTCTCAAGCAGGCAGCGCTATCCTGGCTGGCAGAAAGAGCAATATTTCTTTTCGCGGTTGTTCCATGTGTTGTGTGCCACCGTGTGTTCGCTTCTTTTTGATGGATGCCCCGCACCGACGACCGTCTTGTCGACGCTTGGGCTTCCGCGGCGCCGTGTGTGTGTGTGTGTGTGTGTGTGTTGGCCCTCCCTGCTTCTTCCAGGATCCAACGAAACGGCCGTTCTTCCAGGATGTTGTCGAAGACTTGGAAGCCGAGATCGAGGCTGCCCAGGCCGTGACAGAGTTGTAGCCGAACTGCACACGCGCGCGGCGGTGACCTGCCCTGTGACGTTTCGCACGTCTTTCAGATGGCCTCAAGGCTGTGGGCCATGTGCGGAGCGTACGGGAAAGCTCATCAGCTGACCATCCTTTCCTCATTCTCAGGGGATTTGAAGCCGAGGAGGTTGGCCGGATCGTTGTTCGCTCTTGTACATACGTCTTTTGCGCCCGGTGAGGTGCGTGGCTACTCTAGGACTGTTGCTTTTCTCGCCGTTTGTTGCGACTCTTGCTGAGAGGGAGGGAGGGAGGGAGGGAGGGAGGGAGGGAGGGAGACAGACAGACAGAAGAGTGGGAGGGAACGTTTGCTGCTGATCCTTGGTCGTGAGAAACGGTCAATGCATGCGAGGGAGGGCATTGGGTGCGGGTGGAGGTTGTGTACACTAGCCTGCCGCGCCCTGGTACTGATGTCCGCCACGTGGTCCATGTAGGGCCCCGCAAGATAGAGATGGCAGTTGAGGGAGAAAATCCGTTGTCGACGCAGGTGCACCTTGTGGCAAAGGCACCAGCACATGGAACGTGGCTTTGATGGACAAGTCGTCTTGTGTTTTCGTGGATCACTGACTGTTAGACGAGTGCATGGAGGGGTGTTGAGACGTGTTGAGAAACTAAATTGCACGCAGATGTCACCGAACCTTGTTGTGCGTCTATTGCACTTTTGGCACCGAGAACAAAGCTTTGGTGGGCACCACGAAAATGCTGTAGTACTCGAAGTCGTTAGATGCGTGAGACTCGATCGGCCACACGATGACCGCGAATCATATTTGCCGAACTCGGTCGCCTGCTGTGTTGCTATCTGTCTCTCAAGATTCCTCGGACGCCTGCTGTGTTTCTGTCTGTCTCTCAAGAATCGAGGTATATAGTCATTCGGTTGGGGGGGGTGCAGGGGCGCCACTACCCCTCCCTGTAGTCTGCCAGACGTTTATACCCTCGGTAGAATCGCTTGTGTTGTCGGTGTGGTGCTTTGATGAAGTATGTCCTTCAGATCACCTCTGGCAAACATACCCCGATCACCTACATGTCCTTCAGATCACCTCTTGAAAACTTTCATCGATTACCTACATGTCTTACCAATCACCAGGGGACGACGTATCCCTGACAAAAGCTAGCCCCATCTGCAGGGGATCTGATCATCAACCTTGCATGTGTTTCTTAGCTGAGGGCCCTTATTTACTGCTGCTGCTTTGACCAATTCTTATGGAAGGTCTGCAGTTCCTGAGGTTTGGGTTTGTAGTGAGGCCGACCGGACAGCACTCGAGTCTCCTTTATGTTCAGTAGATAATGATATGTAAAAAACGATCAGTTGTAACCGTTCATTGTGCGGCGAAATCCAGCCGTTGGGGGTTAACCTTGGGTAACCTACACTATTTGACAAATGGAAGGTTAAGGCAGTAGATTGGAAACGAAATATTGTGATTTTTCGTGCAGGTTCGAGTCCTGCAGACGACGCCAAGATGTTGTGGGATTACACGCGTAGCAATCCCTGAAGACCCTCATGAAGACTCACTTGTATATCAATCTCTTGAAACAGCAGTGCTTCCTGTTGCCTTCCTCTCAAATGGTAGACTGAACACAGATGTGGCGGACATGGTCCTCTCTAAAAGGGGCCGCAAAGGTCCCGTCCCCGTTTTATCCTTAGAACGGGAGTTACATCTATCTTCCGCACCTTTCTTCAGGCAATTACTCCGCAATACCGTTGATATGTCCTACAAATCAAAATCCCATGACAGAGGTCTTAGGCAATAGTGATGGAGTTTTGGCTGCAGGTCCTACTGCTGATAGTCGCTGCGTTGGATCACTCCCTCTTATGTATTCGCATGTTACCCATGGTTTGTGGGACGTGTCTGCGTTGCGCAGGAATCAAAGAGGAAAACACCCCGCCCGCTACAAAGTGTTTCTATTCGGTTTTCATGAAGTATCGAAATACCTGAAGGCTTTTTGGTTCGGATTCGCAGCCCTTGAAATAGAGCCCAGCGAATTTTCAGCGGCCATCACGTGCAACACCGATGTCTCGCGAGTCTAACACGCAACGGCTAAAGTACCAGCGAGTCCTCGGAGTGAAATGCAGAAGAACGTGTTTAAATAAAAACGCTGTTCCACCAGAAAAATAGGACATAGCCACCAAAAATGTCGGATTTGTACACAGGCATATGTACTACATTCCTGCCCAAGAAGGACCAACAACCAGCGTAAGTGGGCACGGAGAAAAAACAGCTCAGTTTTTGAAAAACTTGCAATGGTCCACGCGCTGAAACACGTAGCTTTCAATAAAGCGCAACGAACAATCGGACGCTTTCCTGCGTGCTACTGTCTTGTCCAAATGAATACTAGACTTTTGCCGTCAGAATAAGACACCCCCTGGATACGGGTGAATATTCTCCAACGGACACCTCTCCGGACTAACGGGCACTCCCCCCCCGCAGCGGGCACTCCACCCTCACAATGGGCACTCCCCCCGACTAATGGTCACCAACCCAGGCTAACGGGCACCCCCCCCCATGTACGCGGGCACTCCCCCCGACTATCACGGGCACCCCCCTCGGATGTTCGGGGCACCCCCGGTGTGTCTGCTGAGGGAGTACAGCGTGTATGATCAGCAAATGCAGTGTATTTATCCGACAAAGGGAAACCAGTGAACCTGAACAGGGAATACAGCGTATCTGATGAGGGAATAGAGTGAATGTGGTGAGGGAACACAGTGAATATGATCAGGGAATTCTGTGAATTTGTTGAGGGAAAACAGTGAGTCTGATCAAGGAATACAGCGAATCCCATCAGGGAATACAGTTTATGTGTCCGGACAAGGGGAAAAAAGGGAACCTGGCGGGGGAACACAGCGTATCTGATGAGGAAATGCGGTGAATCGGATGAGGAAATACAGTTAATATGATCATGGAATATAGCGAAATTGAATTATTCAGTGAATCTGATCAGGGAATACAGACAGCGTATTTGATGAGAGGATACAGTGAAAAGAACGACGGAATACGGTGAACCCGACGAACGAATACAGTGGATCTGATGCAATACTTACAGTGTTTAGCGTATCTGATTATCGAATACGTGTGTGTGATCAGGGAAATCAGTGTACCTGTCCGGGAAATACGGCGTATCCTACATCATTCCCTAGAGCACAGCATCGTCCAAACAACCCACCAAGAGGTGCACGCAAGCACTGGGGAGTGCTCACAATGGAGAGGGAGTGCCCGTTATAATAGGGGAGTGCCGTTGGTCGACGGGGGGGTAATATACATTATTGTCCATATGGTACACACTTCCATGGAAGTGGATTTCTACTTCCATGGAAGTATATTGTTACTTCCATGGAAGCCCATGGAAGCTTCCCCCGCTTCCATGGAAGCTCGATCTACTTCCATGGAAGTACGAGGTACTTCCATGGAAGCCGCATGGAAGCGGTCGTGCGAATCCGCCACCGTACTTCCACGCTACTTCCATGGAAGTGCCTTGTACTTCCATGGAAGTCGATGGAGCTTCCATGGAATCAGCGGTGGTAGCTTCCATGGAAGTCTCGCCTGAAACTTGTTGTTGCTGACCCCCCAGCCATGTGAACTTCCATGGAAGTCGCCCACACTTCCATGGAAGTCAGTTTCGAGCTTCCATGGAAGTTAAAATCAATGAACTTCCATGGAAGTATGTACTCTTTCCATGGAAGTAAACATCTACTTCCGTGGAAGCTACGCACATATGGACAGTAATGTAGAGGACTGATATGTTGGCTGACAGCGCACTCACAATAAACATACCGCGGAGCACAAAATCGAAGCCTGCCGCCGCTACACTTGTACGAACCAAGTATCACGGTTTGCCCTCTGGGTGTCCGGTGTGGAAGGTGGTGCTGGTACTCGTGTGTGTGTAGAGAAGCACCGTAGCGGTTTGTTTCGTAAGGATGTGATAGTGTTTTTCGTCCCACCAAGACTGACTGTGTTTTTTTCTCGGGATCAGCGGATACACGTCACGCAGTGTGTGGCACTTTAACGAAACGGCACTACCGACGTCTGAAGCTAGTTCGGCAATGTTGTGTTCATGAGCCTTGGCCGCGCGCGCTGGTGTTTGAAGTCTGATTATTCTGGTACACGACACGACACGGTATATATATACCCTTGTCGAAACGCCTCAGCAGTGTACGGAGCACATGTCTTATCAGCATGAAATGAGTCCCGCTGATTGGTCGATGCCCAGGTACACCCTGCCGCGGCAATCTTGCTCTGCCGTTTTGCCCCGACAGGAAATGAGATCCGTCTGCTTTGTGTCGCAGACTGCAATTTCTGTTCAAACCGGAGGATACCAAACACGAATCTTCCAGCGCTCAAAGCACTTGATGGCCACCGAAATCCTAGACACTATCTTTAGTTTAACGGACACCTGTCGACACGCCGACTGAAACAGAACATGCATGGCTTGCAGCAATGCGAAAGAGTGATGGGCGAATTCGTAGTATCCGAGAGCAGGAGCGGCGATACACACATCCCAACCGAATCCTCATGAAATGGATTTGGCTTAAGACAGGCCACGTATTTCTTACACTGACCCATTCAACGCACATCATATTTGTATATCGTTCTGTCTGTTGATTCGCACAACGTACCAACGTTGTCGATCAACAGAAAGGAGATTGTAGGTGGTGATCGATAATTCGGGTGGCTCGGTTCTTTGTGGTTGGAGCTCAAAGCGGGTGGCTCATGGCGGAGCGTGGATGGGTAGGAAACGTGTTGAAAACGTAATGCAAAAGTATTGGAAAGTATTGTATTCATCGGGGGCGTGCCAGTGCTCGTCAAACCTTCACGGTATCTGGGCACGCCTTCACTCTTTGTCACTCAACGAATCTCTCTGAATCTCCACCAAATACCTCTCGCAACCAAGGAATATATATATGTAGAAAGTTCCTATCCCTCCGCATCTCATCACTGTTACTTTCGTACGTACGTACCGGACATCTCAACCGTCATACTATGC